CCACACTCTGGCTATCTATTTTCACTTGACTATACCACTGTCGCCTCAAATTCAACATATCTAAAATATAAGTCGACCCAGCCAGTGTGGCTCAGTGGCTGAGTGTCAACCCATGCACCAAGAGGTCGCTGGTTTGATTCCCGGTCAGGGAACATGCCCAGGTTATGGGCCCAATCCCCAGCGGGGAGGCATGCAGGAGGTGGCCAATCGATGTTCTTTCTCATTGACGTTTCTTTCTCACCCTCTCCCTTCCTCTCTTTCTAAATAAAATCAATACAGAAAAAAAAAATTTTTTTTAATATATGTCAAGCTTGTATCTATATCTCCTCAACCAGCTACTAATATTTTCATACCTATTTCTGTCAATACTGCCATTATAAAATTCTAGTTCTTTCTTTGTCACTAACTAGCTGAGTAACTTTGGACGTATTTTTAAATCTCTCTGGGTCTCATATTCCTAATACACAAAATGTATACATTATGACCCAGAGGTTCTCAGATGTCTTGGAGTTGCAACACTTCATTTCCTGTGTCACTAAAGATCAAAACCTCAAAGTCATCTTTGATTACTCTTCTTCTTCCGGGCCAGCCACCACCGCCCCCTCCCCACCCCATCCCACATCCTCCTTTCTTATCCAATCCATATGAAGTCTTGCATGATATCTCTCCAGTCTTACTTCCACTATAAGTGCAAATCCTCATTACTTTGGGCCTAGATTATTTTCCTACTCTATCACGTCTCACCCCAATTCATACTAAGACTAGCATAGGTGCCTCTCTGATTTTCCTAAAATACTCCTTTCAGCAAGCTCTTTCTCAATCCAAAATTTTTAAAACTTCTCTGTTGCCTATGGAGCAAAGTACATTCTTCTCATCCCAGCTCTTAAAGGCATCCATAATCTAATTCTAGCCCACATTTTCAACCTTATTTCTTACTACTCTCCCATATAAACCTTCGTTTCAGTCAAGTTGTTTTATGTAATGTTTTCTGACTGTGTCATGCATATCTCACCTTTATATCTCACCACCTATACAAATTCCTTACTCTTAGGCAAAATCATATCTTCCCTACATTTGATTCTACCTCTTCTCCGGAGACTTTTATGCTCACTTTTGGCCTCAAATATCTATAACTTTCATTATTTATCTCCCAAATTACATTTTAGGTTCTCAGTAGAAGAAACCTATTTTATATTTTTTTACATCTCTTTTGAACATAGCAATGTACCTTTTACATTGTAAGTACTAATAAAGATTTGTTTGGTGACTGACTCAAGTTCCTTTTTAACACATAGCATTTACTGAATGCACCCCATGTGCTTAGCACTCTGTGTGTGTGTGTGTGTGCTGTTTCTAGGTATTGTTCATCAAAGCATACACAATCAATTTTTTAAAATATGGTTAACACTAGAGAAATAACTATGAACGAACCAAAGTAACCTATGCAAAGATATTCTAAGACTAAATGAACTATAGAAGTATAGAGAGGAAAAAAAGCAATATTTGGTGAAACAGTTTCACAAGAAACAGAATTTTAACAGGAAGTATAGTCACAGTAATAATAATAAATAATTATAATAATAGCTAAAAGTTAGGGTGTGCTTAATGTGCTAGGCACTGGTCTTGAGGATTTCTCATGTATTAACTCAATTCTCCCTCTAAAACTATGGCAAAAATAATTCTCCTCATTTTTCAGATGAGGAGACTGAGGCCCTGCTCAGTTATTCCATACCTAGTAAGTAGTGCAATAGGATACAGAACTAGGCTTGGTGGAAGACGTGTGGAAAACATGAATGAACATTAACAGGCGGAATAAGTATAGCTTTTAGAAAATGTAGAAAGCAGCCCAAGCCAGTGTGGCTCAATGATCAGAGTGCTGGCCCACACACAGAAGGGCACATACCTCGGTTGCAGGTTTGATTCCCAGCCTCAGTCAGGGCACATGCAGGAGGCAACCGATCAATTCGCCTCTCACATCAATATTTCTCTCTCTCTCTCTCTCTCTTCCTCCCTCTAAAAAAATAATAATAATAAATCAATGGAAAAAATATCCGCCTGTGAGAATTAACAACAAAAAAAGAAAGAAAATGTAAAAAACAGCTTGCAAGATGATAGCACAGAATGCTTACTGAGGGACCTTAAACAAAAGACTGAATAAATAGGGTAGTGACTGATGACAGAGTATCTTGAAAGCCATAAAAAGGAAGTTATATTTAATAGGTAGAAAGTGGAAAGCCAGTGAAGATATGAGAAAGAGAATGACACAATAAGGAGTATCAGAGTGACATTTTTATTAAAGATAACTAGAAGGAAGACATGCTGGATTCTGAGAAGTTGCTATGACCTTCAATATTCTAGGCTGAGGAAATGAGTCCTGGGATTCAGGTGGTAAAGTGGGGGAAGCAAAAATAGAGGGACAAAAGAAATATGGACAGGACATGTTGAAAGGTTAATATGAGTGGTAAATGAAAGAGGTAGTTTTACAATGATGCCTAGTTTAAATTTTACATAACCAGGAAAGAAGGAGATTACAAAGGAATATAAAATAATGATTGTTTTTCTTTACTGATTTTTAGAAAGAGAGAGAGAGAGAGAGAGATAGAAACATCGATGAGAAAGAATATCAACTGGCCTTCTCCTGCATGCCTCCCACTGGGGATTTGGCCCACAACCTGGGCATGTGCCCTGACCAGGGATCCAACCGGCGACCTCTTTAGTGCATGCGTCGATGCTCAACCACTGAGCCAAACAGGTCAGGCTAAAATAATGATTTTCATTTGGGGCATGTTGAGCTTGAGGAGATGGTCAAAAACACTAGAAGACCGTACTATGACTAGAATGACAAATGAGCAACAAAATTAGTTTTGCAATGAAAGAACTGAACCGAAGCTATGAAGATACTAAATAAGAGAGAAACTTCATTAAGCCATAATCAGCTGGTACTAACCTTGTATCAATAATTTTGGTGGAGAAGGGATCAATTAGTGACCAACATTAGAAAAATGCAGTTTTTCCATTAAAGAAAGTTTTTTAATCAGAAAAGCTAAGGCAGAGGTTCTCAAACTTTCTCCACTCAGGGAGTCCTCAGTCTTAATAATTTTTCCCCGGGCATCTGAGGTTTACTAAAAGAAATACTTAAGTAGGTAGGTTCAAATCATTTAAGTGTTAATGTCCTTACAACTTAGTGCTTGTTGGGCACTGTACAACTTCTCAATCCTTGGAATTAAATCAGACAACATCACACTCTAATTGCCTGTATCATTAATTTTCATGCAGTATTTGCTTTTTATCAGAGCAACCTTTAAAAATACATCTTTTTGTAAAGCCATAACATTGTAGAAAGGATTGTGTCCATTTCACGTTGAAACTGTGAACTACCTCAAACGAATAATTCAGACCTGAGTTCACTGGTGCTCTGAGGCACCTCAGCCTGCAATTTTGAAAACCGGGAGCAAAGGGAAGGGGCCTAAAAAGAGACCCCAAAAAAATGCAACGTGGGAGGAGCAAAAGAAAGTTCTTAGCACAACTAACCACAAGAGGGCAGCACAATAGTTGGTAGGGACAGCACAACGTGGGAGGGGGTGTCAAGGAGGTTTGAAATCCCTTAACCAGTTAAAGATCTAAAAGTACTTTTTCTCCTTATACTAAAGAGGAAGAAACACTGGTCACTGGCAGACCACCTTATGCAGAGTCATTCTGCCCTTCTCTGAATCTCCTTGGCCTGCCCAGCCATGATAGCAGCCAAGACTTTTACAGCAGCCAAGCAAAGTACTACTTTGCAGGCATAATCTCATTTAATCTTCACATCATAAGAAAAGTGAGATTCAAAGAGATTTTAAATAATACAACACCAGAATTCAAACCCAGATCTGACTCCAAAGCCAGTGCTATTTCCTAGTCGGTCTCAAAAGCATACCACCTTTCACAATAGCCAGGTGAAGGTAGACAGAAGATATCAGTTCCCTCCCCATACCTCAGACACGTCTCAAATCACCAGGAAAAAAAAAAACAGTAAATGGTCCCCCCAAACTATTCCATAAATGGTCTCTAAAACACTATAAACTCCAAACACAGGTCATTCAGTTAGAGCAAAAACAAGCATTATGTTTTTATTTAGTCAGCAAGTAGGACAGCTTTCCTATACAGGTATATACACATACTTAAGGCAAGTGTTGGACACATCCAGTCTGCAGATATGTTTGTTACACATTAACACATATGTGTATATACAAGCAAATGATTCTCACACTTTAAGTGGCAAAAGATGAAGGGGTAGGGAGAGAGAGGCCAAAGGTTGATTATTCATCTTCAAATCTGCTGGGTGTTATATCAGAATATTTTCTGGAGCCCAACAACTCATTCGTACAAACCTATTATGAAAGCAAAAGCATTTGCCATTTCTTTTATTCCCACTTCTGGTTTCCTTCTCCACATTCCTTTCTCCTTTCCACTATGTATGACACACCTTAACTGCCTCTATTCCTTCATTCAGAAAAAAAGGGAGTTTCTCCTGACAGATTAATGACCACCGGAAAGCAAACTGGGTAAATTCAACCGACACAGCAAACTTAGGCAGATAAAACCATCCAGGAAGCATTCAGTGTGGTAGCAGAAACCCCAGCAAGAACGGCTAATGTGTTCTCTCCTTAGGTATCTCTTAGTACTAGAAAATGTTCCTCTTCGAAAGATTAAGAATCTCTGACGGCTCGAAAAGAAAGGGTAACTGACAACGTTGTTTCTGCAAAGCCGCGTTATTTGCACAATCAGCAGAGAAAGAAACAATGAATGTTTCTTAAAGGATCCAAGAGCAACAATAAACACCCCCAAAACACCCTCCCGGACCCACGTCGGAAGTTCAGCACCGCCGTTCTCGGAGGAGTGAAGCCCCGAGCCCTGCCCGTCCGCACTCGCTGCCGGCCGCCCTGGGCTCGCGCTCACAGCTCGTGATACGCTCACCTTGACCGCAGCGCAAAGCACAGCAGCCAGGACCGCACACCCACCTTCACGGGAAGAGGAGGAGGGGCCTCTTTTTCTGCAGGAAAAAAAAAAAAACCAGTTCACATCTTGTTCCTTTGCCTGTTTCTGAAACCTAAAGACGAAGGAGAAGTTACTGCCGCAGAAATCCAGGGGAAATACATGTTTCTTTTCTAGGCTGTTTGGATATCTAGATTTTTAAAGAGGGATAAATAAAGGGTGGGGGTGGGGGTCGGGCATCAGGCATACACGGGTGCAAACATCAACAGCAAAACACTCTGCTGTTTTCTCATAAAGAGGAAGGTTTCTTGCTGTCAAGTTTACTGCCACGAGCAAGGGGACAGCGGGGCTCGGGGGGTGGGAGGGCGGTGGAGAGACAAGTGCGGTCCGCCACCCGGAGACCAGGCAGCAACAACAGCCACCCGCTGCACGATCGGCGACGGGGACGCGCCCCCAAGCCCACAGGCTGCTCCTACCAGGCGCCTCCGGCCGGCCAAGGTCTGCGAAGCCCCGGGAGCCGACACGGGTCCGAGCGTCCGCCAGGCTGGGACCTCCGGGGCCCTCCGGTGCGATTCCGGTTCCCACTCACATCCCTCGGCGGCGAGCGTCCGGCCTCTCCCAGCGCCCGGGCAGCAGCTCCTCGCCCAGGCGCCGCAAGTCCCGGCCCAGGAGCCGCGCGGTCGAGGCGGCGGCGCGAACTCCCGAGCGAGTCGCTCGCCGGCCCAGCGGGTCAGCGCCCAGGGAGGCCGTTAGCCGCGGCCGGGGCTGCCCCCTCCAGCTCCTCTTCCTCTCTACTTCCTGCAGCCCACACCACTCTTAGTTCGGGGAGCCGGGAAGCCTGTCACAGTCGTCTCCACCCTCTCCGGGGCCACCCAGTTTCTCAGAAGCGCAGGCGACACTCCGACTGAGCCTACCGGTTGGCCTTCGGTCGGTCCGGCAGCCTGTCCACCGCTGACTGAGGCCGCACCGGAGCCAGGCGGGGGCGGGAGCGCGGCCTGGCGCGCGCCCCCAGACTGCGCGTGCGCCGCTCCGGGCCGCGCTGCTCCCGGCGCGCGCCGCGGGGCCCGCAGGGGAGGGCCTCTCGGGACGATGGCCTCACGCGGAGCTGGCGAGCGCGCGCGGAGATTCCCGATCCGGCCCCGGGCCCGAGCGGTAGAGAAGCCGAGCTGACCGGGCTAGGGGGAACGGCCCTCCCCAAGATGGGCGGGTGTGTGTGGCCGCCGCCCGCAGAGGAGACGGCTGGGAATGAGTCATCTCGGCCCGGAAGGCGCCCCCTGCGCGCAGCCTGGCACAGCACAGACTTTCCCCGCCCGCGCACTGTCGGCTCCTTTCTGTCTTTGCTTCCACGTTCCCGGGGCTGCAAACCTGTGCTTTCGCAGGCTCGGCCTCCAGACCGAGAGGAGGTGGCGCCCGGGGCTGGGGCTCCGCGTTTACCTGCCGTTTCGCGCCAGTGCGATCCCGAGGGCCTAACTCCAATTTGTCTCCTCTGCTAGACAGCAGTGAGGGTGGGATAAGGCTCCCAGCTGCCTGCAGATTGACCGCCAGGCCCGGGCGATTGAGTAGAAACAACTTCTAACCAAAGAGCTGCATTCATTCATTCATTCAGTATTTACTAGGTGCCATGCTGGAGGCCCCCAAGGATGCTATGTGATCACTCACGGCACACTCCTTTGTGGTGGAGCTAAGCAAGTATTCTGACAAAGTGACGAAAAACGCCATAAATGTATGATGTGTGGGCGTATAATTTCCACTAAAAAAAATAATAATAATAGTGCAAAGTGAAGGACTAGATATGAGCAGGCAGTGTGCTATTTTAATTAGAGTGGCCAGGAAAGACCCAGAATAACTGACATTTTAGCAAAGATCTGGAGAATGAGAATGGGCCAGTCCTGCGATTACCATGGAAAAGAGCTTCAGGCAGAGGGACTAGCAAACAATGTGCTTGACAAGTTCAAAGACCAGGGAACAGGTCACTGTGGCTGAAGGACAGTGAAGGAAGGGGCAATGATAAGAGGTGAGGTCAAAGAAGTAGCCTTTAACCGACTGTGTAAGGCTTTTTTCACTTATTAGTAGCCCTGTTTCTGTCAATTGGGAAGAACTGATGCATTTATAGACCCTGTTTCTCCATATACAAATGATGCTGCCATTCAGGTATAACTTGTATTTAATGGTTTCTTCAAATAAACTTCACCAACGCCACTCCTGCATTTCTTCTTACATGAGATCCATTGCAGAAAGTCTTTGAGCAAATGATAGCAGGATAGAAAATGACTTGAATTCACACTGACTTCTTTAAAGTAAATAATGAACTAGAGTCCCATTTTTTCATAAGAGAAAGAGATTATAGGGAAATTGCTTTCCTATGGTGCAATATTGTGATTTATAAGATATTTGGCATTTATCATCCACTGGCGCCCAAAACCCTTGGAATTTCCTAAGTGATGAGAGTAATCAAGGGGTCTTTTGTTATGTTAATGAGGTGACTTTTGGACCCCCACCAAAGGGTGGGATCTGGTTGTCAAGAGAGCCAGACAAGTGATTAGAGGTTTGTAACTTTGAGTCCCATCCACCCCACCTACCCCCATTTGGGGATAAGGGAAAGAGGCTGGAAATTAAGTCCAAGTGTCAATGCTCAATAACTCAGTCAATCATGACCGTGTAATGAAGCCTCCATAAAAACCCAGGAGGACAGCTTTTCCTTTTTTGGAGAGCTCCCACATTGGGAAACTAGAATGTTTCCATGTGATTGCCACCTTGTAAGGGGCCTCAAATCCCACATGGACAGATCTCCTTTGTTCTGAACCTTGCACTAGGTATCTTTTCATCTGGCTGTATTCTTTAGTATCCTTTTTTAATGAGTTGATAATTTAGTAAGTAAAATGTTTCTCTGAGTTCTGTGAGCCATTCTAACAAATTAATCAAATCCAAGGAGGGGGTTGTGGAAACCTCTGATTTATTTTCAGTTGGTCAGAAGTACAGGTAACAACTTGGACTTGAGATTGGCATCCTGAATTGGGGGGGTGGGGGGGATCTTTATAGTTAGTTGGTCAGAAGCACAGGTAAGAGTCTGGGCTTTCATTTGACATCTGAAGTGTGTGTGTTCTAAGGAGGAAGGGAGGGGTGCAGTCTTGTAGTTCTGACCCCCTAACATGTGGAATCTGATGCCAGGTAGATAGTGTCAGAATTGAGTTGAATTCTTGGACACTCAGCTGGTGTCTGAGCAAGAACTATTGGTTGGTGTAAGGGGAACCCGCCTTCCCATGATGGAATTGGGTCAGGAAACCCTATTCATATGGCTACTGTCTTATAAGCAAAATATGCTGCAGAGTTCCTTTAAAAAAAAGAAAGAAAAATAGAAATGTAAGTTGTGGGGATGGCCTCCTATTTAATTAAATTAAAACTTTTTAATGTTAAAAATGTCATGTATATGATCTCTTTTATTTAGAAATAAAACAACAAAAAATATGTCAGTGAAATGGAGCACTACCTTCCAAGCCACCAGTTAGCCAACGGGAGTGGCTAGTAACACTCTAGTCTCACCCCATCAGGCCATTTGTGACTTTGTCATTGTATTTTGTAATCAGAGAAAATGTGGAAATGATGAGTCTTTTCAGATGTCAGCATAAAGTTCCAAGCTATGTGGAGTACGTTCATCTGTTCATCTAGATCTACCAACAAAAGGTCATGAAGAGCTGCAATATGTTGGGCTAACTGACTACAACCTCAGTAGAGGCTTTGCGGAGAAGGAATGGATATGGTACTACAGCCCCACCATACTGGGCATGGAAGCGTGCTCCAAACTCAGAGGTTCCATTCAGGGATTTGCAGCAGAAGCATAGCAACTAGCACTAATTCTCTGGCAATTAAAGGCCTTCAGCATGATGGACAAAGTAATTGAGGATATACAAAAAATGCTGAAATTGTGAATAAGGATGAGAGAGACAAAGTTTATATGCTTTTACCAAAAATGTGTGCATGTATTTCAAACCTACCTGTTTACGAAGAAAGTCCAAGAATTCTAATAATGATATACATCACTCACTCACAGTTGAGCAGAGCCAAATTAGTCTCTAGATACATAATACATGCACATACATATAAAAGTGTGCTCATGGACAATTGGAGATGATCTATGAGTTTTATACTGCTATAATTCTAATAAAGCTGTATTTTGTATTACAAATTAAAAAGTATTAAAAAAAAAAAAAAAAGAAAGAAAGAAAGAAATGTAAGTAGTGACTCAAATGGCAAATCTAAAACCTGCTTAGAATATTAAGGCTGAAATTACAAGCATCAACCACTATGACAGTTCTCCTTTCCTGTAAACAAAAACTGTTACTGTAGTAGAAACCAGAACACAGGCCCACACAAAAGAAGATAAAGTACTGAATGTGGTTTTAAGGTCAGGGTTAAAGTGAAAAGCATTTCAACTGTGGAAATAGAAACATTCTCTTTTGTGAGGAAAAAAATGTCTATTTTAGACCTCTGAAACAGTGCAGATACATTCAGTGTAATTAAGTGATGTTTCTGTATTTTGCAATGATGTGTTTATTCAACCAGGCATGGTTTCTGTTACTGTCCACTGCCTGTTTGCAGGAAAAAGCCATTTGGAACTAGTGAATATTGAGGGTTTCTTGTGGGGAAATGGATTCTTTTTCATATTAGAGATTTGGATATGGAAGACAGGTGTACAAGGGAAATATATATTCATAGTCTTATCCAACTGAGAAATCAATATACCCACGCAGAGCGATAAAATTACTTGCTTCGTGTCTGTCATTCAGATGGTGAAAGCCTCTCTTCTTACTAAAATATTAGGATTTTAAGTTAATACTACCCTGGAATATTTAGCTCTTTTCACTCTGTATAGAATTTTTTAGCTCTTTATGTGATCCCCGGTAGCTAGAAATTTTCTTCCAGGGAAAACATTTCAGAAAGTTTGCCCTATTCTTTGATAAAGACAAAAGAGAGTACCAAAAATTTTGACCAAGTCTTTCACAACATTCTTTCACACAATATGGAGAAACAAGAAATGTGGGTTAAATGATAACACATTTAGATTCAAAACTGATTGTATGGCCCATATCTAAAAATAAAAATTAGGCCCTGGCCAGTTTGGCTCAGCAGTTAGAGCGTCGGCCTGCGGTCCTGAGAGACCCGGGTTCGGTTCCCGCTAAGGGCGCGTGCCTCGGCTGCAGTTTGTCCCCGGCCCTGGTCGGTTGTGCGGGTGGCAGCCACTCGATGTGTCCCTTTCACATCGATGTTTCTCTCTCTCTCTCTGTTCCTCTCTCTCCCTCCCACTCTACCTGAACAAAAAATGGAAAAATGTCCTCGGGTGAGGATAAAAAAAAATAAAAATAAAAATAAAAAATAAAAATTAGCAGGTAATTGTCAACTATGGAGCAGTGTGTAGTGGTATGCAGTAAAATTCTGTCCTTCCACTGTAGTAGAACCTGGCAGCAGTGGTTCTTGACCCCTAAACCCATGCCTGCAAAAAAACTGTGACCAGCCCTGGCTAGGTGGCTCATTTGGTTGGAGCATCATCCTATACATCAAAAATGTTGCAGGTTTGATTCCCTGGTCGTGGTTCAAACAGGAGGCAACTGATCAATACTTCTCTCTCACATCAATCTCTCTCTCTCTCTCTCTCTCTCTCTCTCTCTCTATCACTATCTCTCCCTTCTTTTCTCTCTAAAATAAATAAACAGCCATGGCCAGTTTTGCTCAGTGGTTAGAACATCGGCCCGCAGACCAAAGATTCGTCGGTTCGATTCCAGTCAAGGGCACGTACCTTGATTTTGGTTTGGTCCCTGGTCCTGGTAGGGGTCCTGCAGGAGGCAACCAGTTGATGTGTCTCTCACATCGATGTTTCTCCCTCTCCCCTAACCCCACTTTCTCTCTCCCTCCCACCCTCTCTCCTACACTATCTGAAGATAAATGGAAAGAAATATCCTTGGGTGAGGATTAAAATAATA